GCGGTGGCGGCGGCGGCTGCTCGCCGCGCCTCCGTGCTGCCGCGTTAGCGGCTGCTGGCGGGGCGGAGCGCTGCGCACGGCGCTGTCGGCCAGGCTGGGGCGGGACCGGGGTGGGCTGTGGCTGCTGCTGCCTGCGCGCCTCCCGTTCGCGCAGCTCGCTGGGGCTGAGGACGGGCCCAAGGGTGATCCCAGTACCCTTGAGCCGCTTGCTGCCAGCCAGCACAGTAGCAGCCATGGCGGCGGGCAGCGACGCCTCAAGCGCCATCCGCCCATTCCGCGTGATCCACACCCGCTGCACCCGCACGCCGCTGACTGACATGCTGTAGAAGGCGTGCAGCCAGCCGCAAAGGCGTCTGCAGGCATGCTCGTGTGTGGGAAGGCATCCAGCGGCAGCCTCCGCTGCCAAGCCGGGGAGCCCTATCACCGCAATCTCAGCTGTCTGCTCGCCTGTGGGTGGCGCTGGGTCCCGCGCAGGCTGCAAGCTGCCCTCGAGCGGCACGTGCCGAACACTGGGTTCGGCATGCCGCGGGGGGCGGCTGTCGCCGCCGGGCCGCGCCTCTACCAGGCGCTTCTCCACCCATCGCAGGAGCACGAGGAGAGCTGCTGCCGAGAACAGGCCCAGAAACAGGCCGACGGCCGCTGCCACTGCTAGCGCCTCTGAGAGAGTGAAGGAGACGACTGCGTCGAGCATTCTGTGCAATAACTGTGCAATAACATTGTTGTTGATGAAGAAAGAAGATGGCTGGGGTAAAAACACATGGGCGCCGCATCAGCCAGCCAGGGTTGCGCACTTGCTCACCTGAATGCTCACGTAGCGCCCAAACTTGGGCACCGTACATGTGTAAATGTCAGACCCGTCATCACCGGCAACAAAGTTGCATTTGTCCTGCACGAGCGTGAGTCAATGCTCGACATTCATTCCATCTGCAATGCATTACATCCCCAGCACTGCTGTGGCTGGCAAGCTGCTGCACGGCGCTGGGCTGCGGCTCCGCTGCACCTGATACCCTTGGTGGCTGTAGCACAGGGTGGTGTCGTTGAGCGCTGGGTCTAGCTTGCCAGTGATGAAGGGTTCTGTGTGGGACACATGTATCGTGAAGTTCTGCAGCCGCTTCCACAACTGTTCGCCGGTGTTGGTGACGTCGCAGCGGTTGTGGATGCGCACTTTGTGCACATCTGTTTGGAAGCCAAGGTCCACATACCACCTGAAGCGCATCGCAGAAGAAAGAATGGTGGAGCGATGCAGCAATCCATGAGAGGTGAGCGCGTGCCTTCAAACCAGGACCTGTCTGCATCATGCAAAATGACCCATCCCCAAAAGAGCCTGCACCCGATCGGCCTGCACCAGATCGGCAGCCTGCACCCGATTGGCAGCGCTCACCAAGGGCGCTCCTCCTGCAGGGTGTGGGTGCAGGTCTGGGATGCACCAGCCACGGGAATCCAGAAGGGGCTCTTGTTGCCATCTACAGCATTGCTGTAAATGGAATTTTCCTGACTGGACCCACTGGCGGGTTTAAACTGCATCGGCGGAAACGGGTGGGTCATAATCAGGACAAGCTTCGTCTCAAGTGCCGCCTCACCGCACCGCACACACTACACACACATCACCACCACCACCGCCAGCATTGCAAAGCCTGTAAGGCTCAGCGCTCACCCTGGCCAGCTCGAAGAGCCCAGAGACATGGCACGAGCCGCCTGGCCTCTCGCACTCTTGGCCCCAGACCTGGAAGGGGCAGCAACAACCCCCCATAGCAAACTAGGTGTGTTGTGCCCTCCCACCAGCACCGCCAGCATGCGTGTACCCTGTATGGAGGCTATGCATAGGCCTCCCCTCCTCACCTCCACCTCACACATAGCTAGAACCGAGGTTGGCTCGTCGTTCACAATCTGCATGGGCAGAGCATGGAGCGGTGTCAGCTGGGCATGTCTCCTGTTTGCATGTCGGTCTGCTGTTTGCTTCACCCAGAGCTCCCATGCACCCAGCCTCTGCAGGCAGAACTGCCTCCTCACCTGCACTGTGACGTAGCGCCCGTACTTGGGCCCGCCCTGGCACATATAAGTCTCAAAACCGCCACCGGCACACCCGTCCTGCATGGCACAACGTGGCAGCTGTGCTACATTAAGCATGGACACATCTCGCTCCCTTTGCAGACAGGCACACACATGGATGCCGGCTTTGTAGGTGCACAGCGTGGCGCCGGTGAGAGCGCCCGCTGCCACGCTGGTGTCGCCGTCGCCGTCCCACGGCTTCACATTGGTCACATGTATCTCAAAGTCGCGCAGGCGAGCTGCATGAAGAGCCGGCGCAAGGCATCTGGTCAGGTAGCTACCGAAAGCATGTGCAACACGTCCTGGCATGCAAGCACTGATGAGCGGCAAGGCAGGGTGGCGGCGGTCGACTGAACCCCTGTGCGCCCCCAAACTGCATGCATGCGACATTGGCCATGGGCAGCTCACAGGAGCAGCAGTCGCAGCGCGTGTAGATGGTGACTGCCACGACGTCGAATGGCTGGTCCAGGTCCACAAACCACCACGGCCTGAGTGTGCCGGGTTGGCCAACCCCTCTGTCCCCGGTGTGTGTGCACTGCAAGTTGTTACCATCCCAAGAGGTGCTGCGCTTGCCATCGACGCCCAGCCCAGGCACGACGGAGGGGTCTAGCCTGGAGGAGCCATACGCATACCCCCTTCCCTGCAGCCAGGCACACTAACATATGGCAGAAGCGCTCCATGCATCCTGATAGGCGGGCCCGCTGGCTCACGCAAGCAGCCCCCCTGCTCCCCGGCACTGCAGTGCAGGCAGCATGGGCAGGACAGCAAGTCGGGCTCACTAGTGCCAGGTTCTTGAGTGGGGTAGGCTCGCAGTTGCCGGCTTCATAGGCGTAGCGGGGGCAGCACCTGCACGCAGGGTTGCAAGGCAAGGAGGCAGGCAGGCATCAGGACTTTCAGTTTCAAGCTCAGCAAGCACACGCGAACCCCGCGTCCCCCTCCCTCTAAATCACACACACAGTGATGTCTGTGCACTGCCCCACCTGTACTCGACCACCAATGTGCGGTTGGAGGGACACCAGGCCGGGCCGGCAGGGGGGTTGAGCAGCTCGTTGGAGGGCGCCAGCACGCAGGCTTGCCGGCCTTGGCAGACGGCCCGGATGTAGCTGTCCACATCCATGGTTGCACAGAAACCTTGGCTCTGCCCATATGTGGCCTTGATGACCTGGCCCACCACATTTCCTGGCCCGCAGTCAATGGTCTTGTTGGCATTGGCAGGGATGACCAGCCTGGGCAGCACCGGTGGCGGGAGAGGCTGGGCAGGGGGTGGGCGGGGCGGGCGAGGCGGGCGAGGAGGGCGAGGAGAAGGTCTGGGGGGCGCCGGTGGCGGGGGCCTTCCAGGTCGCGGGCAGATGACATCTGCAGGCAATGCAGCGTGGGGTAATCAGCGCCCCATGTGTGTGTGTGTGTCCCGCCCGCCCACGGTTACTGAACTGGCAGCAGTTGCTCACAATGGGGAACTGTGGCAGCTTTGCTGTAGCCTTTCATCGACACATGGACCGCAGTCAGGTTTTGGAGGTTAATGGCTGCAGCCAGGAGAGCAGGTAAACGTCTGAGCAGGGCATGTGGACATCGAATATTGCAATGCCAATGGAGTATCAGGTGCAGGGTACACACACCGCACTGCAGTCATCCACAACCGCCGGTCCACTCACCTCCGCTGAGCTCTTGATCCATGCGGATGCTCCAGGTGGCAAAGGGCGACAGCGCGATGAAGTACTGGCTCATGGGGGTAAGGTCTATATCGCCACAGTTAGGTGGCGGGCTGTTCCATGGACTCACCAGGTTGGCCCTCTGGGTGAGCACGTCGGTATTGGTGTTCCAGTCGATGCGCCCCGAAGGGGGAAGGGGAAGGTAGTATGTCTGGCCAGCCAGCCGCCTAGTGAGCGTGTAGTAATACGGCTTCAGCTGAGCATCATACATCACCACCTGCCCGCCGTGCCCCACCTGCAGGATTTTTTTTGTGCGAGGAAGCATGTTCATCATGCTGATGCCACAACAGTTTCTTCTTGTTGCCCCCGAATTGGCCTGCTGCACACAGCCAGCCCCGCACCTCCAACGTCACAAACGTTCTATCCTGAGGACTTGCTCCCACCAAGGTGACATACACCTCGTCAATCAGGACGTGAGCCTTCCTCCTCAGCTGGAAATTGCAGGGCGACACAGTGAAGGTAAGTCCACCTTCTTCCAACTCCAGCTGCTCACGCAGGTTGAGGGTGGAGCTGTTGGTGAGCGTCACGATGTCTCGCAGGAACAGCGGCTGGAATTGTTCGCCTTTCTGCACCACAGCCATGATTGAAACTCAACAAAAGCACTACCACAGCCAACCACAAGTTCAACAAGGAACGTGCATCCCAAGGCGCAGTCACTGAGGGCAAGCGCACCTCTAGCGTCTGCAACATGACGGCGTTGATCCTTTGCTGCATTTCTTTCAGCACAGCTTGTGTGGGCTTAAAGTCTGGTAAAGCAAGAACTAGCTTGCAACATAGACTCCCCGCCGAAACGGGACGGGAACCGGGCGAAAGCAGAGAAAGCAATAAAACAGGGGTGGAGCAAGGCGACATGCAACGCAAGCAGCTGACAGGGCACGCATCGAAACGTGTGTATGACTGGCAAAGTGGCATGGCGCATTGGGGAGAAACGCAACGGTACGGGAGCATGGGCTGGCCAAACGGCAGTGCGGAACGCTAGGTCACTAGAAAAGCAGGGAAAGGCGCACTATGTATGCAATGAGGGCAGCCCCGGCTCGGGGCCGTTGAGAAAGCAGTGGGCGGGAGGGGGGAGGCCCCGGTGTGGGCGGGCCCCATCGAGGGGGGATGGGGCGCGCAAGCGGCCAGATGGGGCGGGGCGCGGGCGGCAGTGGAGTCCTGCGGCTGGGTGGGATATAGGGCAATGAGCGTTGAGCAGTGTGCGATGAGCAATGAGCAATGAGCAGTGAGCAGCCCCTCCCTAAACAAAGTGAAGCGCAGGACGGGGTCCGGTGGATGGGAGGCAAGGAAACGCGGGGGGTTGCCACGTGCGCTACCGCCGCCGCCGCAGGCAGCACCCCTGCGGCGGCGGCAGCGGCAGCAAGCCGTGGACCCAAACGCCGTGCCGCCGCCGCCGCAGGCAGCACCCCTGCGACGGCGGCGGCAGCAAGCCGTGGACCGAAACTCCGTGCCGCCGAGTCCCGTGGCTGTGGCCGTGGGCTTCTGGCAGGAAACTACGGCCGCAGCTCGGCAGCACGGGGGCGTCGCAGCGTGCCGCCGCCGCCGCCGCGCTGCCCCCCGGGCACGGCGGCGGCGGCAGCAAGCTTGGGCCCAAACGCCGTGCCGCCGAGTCCCGTGGCTGCGACCGTAGACCGTGGGCCGGAAACTGCGGCCGCAGCTCGGCGGCACGTGGTTCTGGTCAAATCGCCAAGCGTGCAGCAGCGCCGAACCACGCTTCCCGGCCTCGGCGCATGCCTTCAGGGGCCCCCTATCGCTGGGCACACCCCTCCAACACCGAACATGCGCCCGGGGGGGAGGGCGGCCCGGGCTGCCCAGGCCAAAGTGGGCCGCCCTCGAGCAAGAGGCGGCCGGGCTGTGTGCTGAATGAATGAATGAATGAATGAACCTGTTTTTAGGGTGCACTGGGGGGAGCAGGAGGTATGTGGCCGCGTATGCACAATGCATGCATCTGTCCTCCTCTGACAAGAAGCGTTTTAAATGTGTTATTATACAAATGCAGGGCTTGGTGGCCGCGGGGGCTGTCATGGCATTCTGTACCTGCCGAAGGCGCAAGTCACAAGCCAACCAGCCCAGATCCGTTATCATGGGTGAGCACAACAGCAAGGGTGTGGGAAGACCCACTCAGCACCTGCCATCTTACCCTCCTGAATCTTTCCCCACCCCCAGGAAAACCGATCCAAATGACAGCCATGGCGCATGCGGAGAACCGCCGGTATGGGCAGATAATCACAGGTCCGGGAAACCCGGTAATACTGGGCAACCTGGCAAAGCGGGTGCCAAGCAGGTGGATGGGACCCCTATGCGCGGGCACTTCACCTATGGCCCACCCACCGTCCAGCAACGTGAGTATCATCTTTCAATTAACTTTCTGGAAGGCTGCATTGCAGACCAAATTAGGAGCAGCGCTGCTGTACTCTCTCCAATGACTAACCCTGCCCCGGGGCCCCTTGTACGCACTCACACTAGTGCCAGTACTGGACTCCCTGCAGTGACGCCGCCCTCCAGCTTCCAGGTCCCTTCGGCGCAGCTGGCCATGACCTTGCGAAAGGTGCAGTTGCGCATGGTGACCGGGACCGTTGACGATCTGGCCGACATTGGCGCTGCACTGCGTTGGATGCTTAATGTCACCTGCTTGGTCGACCAAGTGTACCCAACCCAGTGTCAGGCAGTCATCAAGGAAGTGGGTGCCCTTGTGCACAAAATGCAGCAGCCTGTGGACATCTTTGGTGAGACCTTGCCTCACCACCCAGTCACACGCTGTGTTGTTCAAATGTGTTTGGTCGCGCCTTTGGGAGGAATGTCGGTCCAAACTTCGGTGTTCACGCAGGCTTTCCCCCCAATTTTGCGCCCACGGCCAGCCTGTCTGTCATCCAGAACTACGTGTGCGGTTCCTTGATGCCAACACTAAAGGCGAGTTGGCAGCAAACTGGGCAGGGCAATACTCACCTTTGGAGCATGCCCGTTCACGTGCAAGTGCATGTGTCTGGATTGCCCACTGACTCTCCTCCCTGTTGCTATCGCTGTTGGTTCTGCTATGCGCAGGAGGTTCAGAGTGCTGCTGGTGAGTATTTTAAGAAAGCGCAGGCCGACAACACCAAAGAAGATGACATCAGGACAGCCATTACACAGGTCCACACAGCAAAGACTGCTATTCAGGACCAGATTCAGAATGTTATCACTCCGGGCATAGTCGAAGCGCAGTCAGAAATTTCAAGGCTTGACAGTCAACGCGAGGTGGCTCGCATCGCCATCGTGACGCTGGATGTTGTCTTCCAGCAGGCTATCCAGCGCGAAAGGCAAGCCTCGCTGGAGGCTAGCAAAAGGTTTCCACTGGCCGGTATCGAGCAGGTGACCGGCATAGGCACTGACCCCTCACACCGACATCAATGGAGCAGATTGCACAATACATAAGTAACAATTGTGCATGTATGCCATGAGATAACATGTGTCTGCATGTGGCTGCTGCGCAGGTTGTCAATTTACTTGTGGCCGGCGTAGGAGTGATCGCGTCAGGCATACAATCATATAGAGGGGGTACAGGCAAAGATGTATCTGATTTTTCAAAAAGCCTCTCAAGCTTTAGCAAGGAGGCTTTTGCGCTCGGCAAGACCATCAGTGGCCTACCCAACCAAACTTTGCCAGGCGACCCATATAATGTGAGGCCTATACATTCCAAGTACCAAACTCGAAAACCCCAGCAGCTCCTCCCCTACTAACCGCAAATTTTCCTTTGCCCACAGCCCCTAATTCAAACGCTCGATGTCCTTGACGACGGCGACAGCGTGGCTGCCAAGTTCACCACCTTCAATGAACTGCATGCCAGCGAGAAGGACAGCGCCAAGCTGGCCATGTCACGTGACAAGTGGGAAGCGTTCATCAAGCCATACTTGGAGCTGGAGGCAGGGCAGGATTACAAGGCAGCCATTCAAGCGTGAGCGCCAGGCAGCCATTCAAGCGCGTGGGGGCAGGGCAGGATTGCAAGGCAGCAATTCAAGCAGGAGGCTTGCCTCCTGGCTTACCAAGTTTTGGCATTCCCCGCACTCAAATTGTGTGTTCCCGTTGCTGTGCAGGTTCAAGATTCTGTGCGACACATACAACCAACAACTGCTGAGGTTGCAGGGCCTTAAGAATCAGCTGGTAGACGCGCGGGCACTGATTGACAGTTTTGACGAACAGGCAGCAACGGCAGAAAGGAAGCTCCTGGATGGCGCCGACCCAGCCAGTGCTACCCTGGCGACCATGCTGGACGGCATGTACAGGCATGCAACAGCCGGCTGCTTTTGCAGGCACTGCCCTCAGCACCCACATGCACATGCAGCATGCAAATGCAAATGCACACCGTGACACACAGCCCAGCCACCAAGTCCGTCAATGCTGCTTCTTGCGTTTTTGCTTGGTGTCACAACTTGCAGGGATCTCCAGTTCAGAGCACTGGAAGGGCTTTGGCAGCTGAAGCTTGCCGCAGAACACGCGTCACTCAGCAGTATTGACTTTTCAGTTCCGCCGGATGCTCTACTGGGTTATGCATCAAATCTCTACTTGCATTCATTCATTCATTCATTCAGCACACAGCCCGGCCGCCTCTTGCTCGAGGGCGGCCCACTTTGGCCTGGCCAGCCCGGGCCGCCCTCCCCCCCGGGCGCATGTTCGGTGTTGGAGGGGTGTGCCCAGCGATAGGGGGCCCCTGAAGGCATGCGCCGAGGCCGGGAAGCGTGGTTCGGCGCTGCTGCACGCTTGGCGATTTGACCAGAACCACGTGCCGCCGAGCTGCGGCCGCAGTTTCCGGCCCACGGTCTACGGTCGCAGCCACGGGACTCGGCGGCACGGCGTTTGGG